GGTCGCCGGTCGATCGCTCCGGTGAATGCGCGTCGTCGACGGAAAAGGGACACGTAAGATCTGCTCCGGACTGAACGGAACTGTTCGCGAACAGATACTCCGTGTATTTGTGACGCAGATTCTATATGTTTTCTGAAGAAAATGAAATTACATGCATATACCTCGCTAGACGCCCGTTCTTTATACTGAAAAGCCTTGCTTCTTCATTTATATGTCTATCTCTTGAATTTCTCTTTATTACATTGCTTTGTACTTTTATTTTCATATGAGAATTTTTATAGGAAATAAGAATAAAATGCTTTATGAACTAGAAGCTATATTATTTTCTACAAAACTGGAACAGATCCAATTGAACTTGTATGGTTTGTATTAACCCTTTGTGGAGGAAGGTTCTTAGAAACAGGAAACCTTCAGATAAAGTTCAATTATACGTCAATTGCTTAAACAGTAGAAGAACAGGAAAGTATGTGCTCTCTTGCTGTTCAAATAATGAAATTGTCTGAGACTCTGTCTTGAAAATACGGAAACTTCGTCTCGCCGAAATGTCACATTCGTCTGCAAAGGGTTGAAATAATTGATTAATTAATTGATTCGTTATTCGTTTTCGCATCATCGTATTACTTTAAATCGTGCTGCTTGCCACTTTTCGACCGGCTGTTCGCAAAGACCGTGATGCTAAATCGGTTTACGAATATTGTTCGCTATTAGCTGACGAATTCTCTGCCCCCTGTTCTTGAACAACGGTGTGAACTCAGCCTAAAGCAGCCACGCGAAGGAACCAGTCGCGATAAACAGGGCTAAACGGCGCGCCCCGGCGTCGCGAGTGCCCCATCGGTCTTCCTGGCCTGCCGGAGAACGTTCTCCAACGGGAGTGGTCGACGAATCGATACGCGCAACCCCTTTCCGCAGGGAATCCGCCGGAACCGAATTCAACCGGCAACGATTGCTCGCTGACGGTAAAATTTGATCGGCGTGAATCCGGTGGAAATGCCTGGTCAAGAAAGAAATTCAGCGGACGCGAGTTCCGGGGGTTGAAAAGAATTCGGTGGGACGGAGAATTGCTCGGACAATTCGAGGGATGTTGCCAATAACAAAAAGAAATTTGTGAATCTTGAATGTTGGAAAGAATTCGGAACTGATATGTAATCCCTATAAGAATTCTAACAATAGATTATTTTCGGTTTCTTCAAAAATTCATTATAGTATTCCAGTGAAAGCTGGATGAGAATGTATCGAAGAATCAATGTAAAGTTTGATCGTTGAATTCAGTGAACGCGAAGGTCGAATAGGATTCGATGAAAATTAGGAGAATTATTCGTTGAAATTAAACCTTCTGGACAAAGAGTCGATGTCTAGACAAGAGGGAACACCGACAGAGGCAAATTAGATGGTGAAAAATAATTCGGCGAGGCGCGGTTCGATTAACAGAGGCCATTCTCCGGGGTTCAATTCAAGGGACGACTGCACGATCGATCGGTGTATAGAGAAACGCCGGCTACAGCCCGACTTCGATCGGCGATAACTTCGTCCGCGCGCAACGCTCGACTTTTATTCATCCCCCAACAATGTCCAAGGATACGAAGTACAGAAATACATTGACGTGTTCACGTGATGACAATGGTAACGCGGAGAGGGTGAGTCACGCGCGATCGTGACAGGCTCATCCTTTACGCGGTTAAAAATAGTCGGAAGGGTGGCAGTACAAGTTACTAAACACCGCGTCTCTGGGTCGCGAATTTCTCATTAATCTCGCCGCCATACAGGGGGTGGCGCGTCGGATCCGCCTGTGAACGACGCGCAGCGCGGCACTCTGTGGACGAAACCCAAAAAATTTCACTCGCATAACGAACACAGAAGATTAACGTGTTAAGTAGTTCCTATAGAAAATGATTTTCATTTAAAAAATGCAAATTTTGTGCGAATAAATTCGGTTTCGAATTTTAGAAACGCAACATGTTTTTATTGGAGAAACTTCGTAATGTCGCTGTTATGTAAACAAAATATGTTTAGCTTCAAAGTTTACAACTTCTGTCTGAAAACATTACTCTATTTTTAGCTTTGAATTTCGATGCACATCTGTAAAGATAATTTTCCTGTTCACTTTTATTCGGCAGTAATAAGAAGGTGGAAGATTGAAAGATATTAACTATTTATACAAGAAAATGATGAATCGGGAGATATTATTTATTAATAATATTAAGAGGTTTCGATATTTTTGATAAAAGTAGTGTTAATCCTTCAAAATCGACTGCCGCCGTAATGGCGACTCCGAGCTTGATACCTAACGTACCTAACCCTGCAGCTGCGAATGAATAATTTAATTACCCGACTGGATATCGACATATATTTCTTTTCTGTCTTAATATCGAGCACTTCGATGTATAAATCAGTGTCTTATCGATGGAATTTCTAGGGATTGAAGAAACTCTCGTTCGCGAAGGGTCAAGAGACGATCTCCGCGGCGGCGAGCGCCTCTTTCCCTGCTGGATTTTTCTAAAACCTGACAGATTCGTAGCGGCGCGTCGCTAATTGCGTTGTCCCGCTTCCTCGGAGTCGATTGATTTAGTTACTTAACCCAGATACACCTGCACCGGTCGCTCGGACGAGAACGCAGCCGGAGACGACGCGATTTCGCCCTCTCGGGGCTGGAACAATCGCGACACGTGCACTCGTTCTAAACCGTTGTCTCTTCTCTTTTTTCTTTCTTTCTTTCTTTCTTTCTTTCTGCTTTTTTCTCTCTTTCTTTCTTATCCGGGAGACAGCGAGAGAACGAGAGACCGCGGACAATAGGGGAAAATGTCGGGCGCAGGCTTCCTCTTTGGAATTTAGCGCTCGCGATACACTAGTGCCATTTTAGTATTCGTTTCTCACTTCTTCCTCCTCTTCCACCTCCGCTTCTTCTTCCTCTTCTTCTTCTTCGTCTTCTCTTTTCCCTGTTTTGTATTACACGGTATCGCGCAGCCGGCTACCATGCGAGCTTCGCGGCGTTGTGCACGAATGAATACGATTGTTTTAGCCTTTTCCGATTCGCGCTGGGAGAACCGTGATCGCAATCTGGGTTACGCGTGGTAATATCAATTTTTGTTTTCGTTGGACCTTTTGGAATCGGGAGCACGGCTCGTTAAGTCGCAATGGGAAGTGCGATAGGAAATTAATTTACACGCGTACTCCGACTGGCGGAAACGATTCTCAACTTATTTTAGTCGGTCGATAGTAAAGCTTGATAAAGAATTCTTGTTCCTTTAAATACTTTCTGAAATTTTACAAAGATTTTAATCTTTGGCAGTTTCTCTTAGATTCACCAGCGATCAATTTTGACTGGGACTCGACTGGAGTTAATTATTCCGGCGCAACCGATCGCTGTCCATCCGTTTCCCCGCATTAACGCAATAAACGCGGTCGCGGTCGCGAGCTCGGTTATAAAAGCGAAAGTATGTCGACCGCAGAAGTTTCGACCGTTAGCGTCCGACGATGTACACGGTGACATCGAGAAATCCGATCCCGATACGGTACGCATTCTAGAATTCCAATTTCTAGATTGAAACTGCCGTTTCTGGATCATTCCTCGGGTTTCACTGAAAAATTCGAGCGCTCCTCGTTCGAATTCATCGATACCTCAATGTTGTACTTTATTATTACTACCTTACTCGATACAATAAACGCTTCGAT